CCCAACTCTAAGTTAACTTTTACTTAAAAGTCAGCCTGTGACATCCTAATCTGTGAAGCTCTCTGGCTCAGTCCTACAGAAGGCCAGCACTGCTATTTATAAATGGGATTTTACTGTTCTATAAAGTTCTTTCACAAATCTTACGGGTCGAGAGAAAAGGAGCAGTTTGGTAAGCAGCCGAGCGATTGAAGCAACTGCTTTATAGCACAATATGAAACTTGACACTGTTTGCTGCTGCCAGTATGATTCCCAAGTGAGATGGATAAATTGTGGTCAAGACCTGGACAGGTTAACTAGTGGTCATCAGTGCTGGTGGTACCTTTACATACAAGTGAAAAAAAAAAAGGATACTATTGGACAGGGCATTTGAAATTTAATACCAGACATGAAACAAGACATCTGTTGGACGCTCATTTGTTTCTCTTTGAATGGGCTTTAATTGAAAGCTCAGTGAAAAATGCAGGTTACATTCTTAGTGTTATCAATAGTTTGCAACAGCAACAACATCAGAACAGTGATGCATCTAATGTACACTTTCTAATTTTAGATGTCTAAGAGCAATACATTATCAGATATATATATACACACAATTTCAAGCAATTAAAAGTAAATAATAAATCCCTCCTCCCAAAACCCTGAAACAATATATTTCCTTACACTAATAATGTCTTTTTCACATATACTTGACAAAGAGTCTTTTTAAGTTACTTATCTTAAGAGTAATCTGTTAATGGAGATCCTGGACCAGCCCCATTAAAAGTTCAGTTTTAAGTTTATACAGCTCACCAGCCACATAACCAGTGTGGCTTTACATTGTAAACAAATCCCAAATGTCTACAATGATTGCAATTAGGTTTGTGTAAAGAAGATCTATGCATCTTACGATAGAATAAATTTAAAACAATACATTAAGAAAAGAGAGAGAAAGAGAAAGAGTTAATTGACAAACAAAACAGTCTGGGGGAATCAATTATGAGATTATTTAAAAAACAAGTTAATCTAATGGTAAGATTCTTATTTTCTGTACAGAGAGGCTCTGGGTCATCTACCTTTAGCTGCTTTAGAAATATGTCCTTTAAAAACATTTGATTTGTGAAATTCAAAAGCAGAGTTTCCAACTCTAAAAGCAGAGTTTCCAACTTCGGCGGTACAAGTACAAAGTTCACCCGAAGTATCTCAGGTGATTGGTCCATCTCATTTTGTGAGGATAACTGTACTAGCATTAGGAAACCTCAGTGTATGTACAGATGAAGTAAGCGTAAAGCTTACCTTCAACAGGGAGGATTCACCCCACCAGCTGTAGGACTTAAAAAGGCACAAGACTTTGCACCTAGAAAAGCTCAATTGAAAATAAAACCAGAAAACTGGAGACAGGTGAGAAAGGTTAAGCATAGCTTATAGTATTCTTGAAACTGTGGCAACCTTGCTTACTTTTTAACAAAAGTACAAATAAAAATCTCTTGAACTTATTGAATGGGAACTTGTTTAAGTCCAAACTGAAGACAAGGCTGAGCAGAATCCTACGGTTTAGTTAACTTGTGTCAAATGGGATGCGAAGGCAGCTGCAGCTTTCTGACAGAGGTGATCGAGGATGGCTGATAAAGTTTGCAGTAGCTCATAATGTCCCATGGGTTTATTCACTTGTCTGAACTGCCTAAAGGGCCAACTGCAGCTTAGTCATGTTCCTCTGGTGCATGTTGTGATGACGAACTAATTCATCAGACCTGGCAAATTTTTTTTGACAGCTGGGCCACCGGCAACTGAAAGGCTTTTCACCTGTTAACAAAACACCCTGTTATTAACTGGGTATACAGCTCGCCTGAGACACTGCTGTTTGTTTTCTTTCTGCAGGGCTGTGAGGGGCTGGGCAGAGCCCCTGCCATGAGCAAAGGCATCCCAGGCCATCCTGAGAGGGTGTGGGAGTGCCCTCAATCCCTGCTCCCATCGGCACTCGGGGCTTTCCTACACCTTCCTCAGCTCCTCTCTAACAACAGCCTTTTGAGACAACGTACAACATTTCGCAGTGGTTCGTTCCTGATGACAGGCTCTCACTGAACGCCGCACTGCCATGTCTGTGCTACTCTCAGCTCTCGAAGGAGCTAGTTTAAAAGTCACTCTGGCATTCGTGCAAGCTTCAGTCACACCTCGGGCTGTGGTGCAGACATACTGCTAGTCACCGTGAAAATTGTCAGCGACTATTTAGAGCTTGACCTCAAGTCAAGGAGAGTTTTTCAGCTAGTTCAATGACTTTTGGCTGAAGTTCTTTGAAATTGGTGAGTGTAAGTGAGTATGGTAGAAGTAACAGAGTTCAGCATGAAGACTGCTGAGCCTGAAACTTTCCCCCTACTCTCTAAATAAAGTAGATGAGCATCTATGGGAGATGTTAAAGGCTCAAAATATTCAGTATTTTTCAAACATCCCCATGAGCATAATCACTAAAAAAGACCATTCCATTTTAACAAGAACTGCCACCACCTTTCTACAGTTTAATCTGGTCTCTAATTCTCTACAATGTTTAAGCGGAATTTCAGGCCATGTTTCTGATGCCGTGGGAATGCTGATGGAATGCTTTCATTAGCTCAGAGCAGTGCCCAGTGATCCATGTTTCTTCTAGAATTGCATTTTCTCTTTTTTCCCCCCAAATATTTTTAAGTAGGTTCAGCTCTGGGGCTGGGCTCTTCAGTGTTGTCTACACACCTTGTACTCCCCAATTCAAGACACCCTGGGGTGGTATGAGCTCACCCAGACATCTTCTCCTCTTCTTTGCCTCACACCTTGTGCATTTCACAAACATCAAACTCAGACAAAAGGGGATCTGGGATTGGAGTAGACATGTATTTCTGTTTGCAAAATTACTTGCAATATATTTAAGGGTGTTTAAAATCTACTTTATCCACTTAATACACGTGCTGGCAAAAGCGCCAGCTATCTCACACGAGTGCATAAAACAGTATGAGAAAAAACTGATCTGGTCAGGGCTACTGACAAAAACCACAAATTGTATAAAGAGGTCTTCTTTCATCTCGGCAGCATCAGCAAAACCATCCTGTGAACTGCTGTGAGTTACCTATCACTGAACCACCAGAGTAAAAGCAGCAGAGTTTTGCTGTTTCACAAGCAATTCTGATTGTCCTCTCACAACAGGAGGCAGCTATCTCTATTAGTTCCGTGCTGGGCACAAGTTACTTTGTACAGCTTCTCTGTACAGATACCGGAGACCACATTTCCATTGCTAACAATGTATATAGATCTATGGAGCTGTCCTTCGATTCATTTTTTCCCTTTCTACAGCAAAGATTGCTGTCAGAGTAAAATTGCTTGTGGAGGCAAAACCCCCTGAATTTGTAGCTTAACAAATAGTTTGGCAGCTGACTTAAAATTCGGATGGAATTAGATTGAAGTCACCTATGCTTTCCTTCATCAAGATTTAACATGGAGCCAGTTAACCTGAGCTAGGTGTTTTGTGGCAAAATTTAGGGGGTACAAAAAAGAAAGAGGAACAAAGCTACAGGGCAAGATGGAGATCAAAGGTCCCCACCCACCACTCGTGCTCATTCCCCTTGGAATATGTGTATTTTACAGTCAAAGGAGCCTGACACATCCGAAGCTGCCAACAGGACATCACAGCAGCACGCAGCTGGGCGGCAGGGCTCGCACGCATCCTGAGCCAGGGGCAGGCAGAGAGCCCACCCAAAGGTCTGCGCTGTGAGGGCGTCAGTGCACAAGGGACACTGCTTTCAGCAGTGAGAGCAGCGTGGGCTTGCAGCGTGGAACAACTAGAACCGGGAGATGAGCTTCGCTGCTAAAAAGAGAGCAAGTTCTTCACTGATTTAGCTAACTTGGGGTAAAAAATTACTGGAGTCATGGAAGTCTTGAATTGGCCGATCAGGTAGCAAAGAACTGTGACGGGGAATGAAGTTTATCCTGGCTTGCTAGCATATGACAACCACTTGCCCACTTTGTCTCTACCAGAATGTTACCTCTTGCTGATGAAGAAAGTACCTTTCCTCATGCGAATGCACCCGGACCCAGGCCCTGCAACTCATCATGAGACTACGGGGAGAGCCCAGGAACACAGCCATGCCCTTCACCATTGCAGATTGCAAGTGTAGATATGGCCATTACTTGAAGCATCTATTTGGCCAGTGCCACAGAAAATGTCATGTTCTCAGGTGAATCATTTGCTTTATCAAAATTTCTCTTTTAGTTTTAAAAGTCTTAAATATATGTTTTTATGGTCCAGAAGAGAAATAAGAATCCTTAGCAGGGAGAAAAAGATTTTCAGGCTCCTTGTCCATCTGTACAGAGACTGAATTTAAAAGGTTAACACCAGTATAGAAAATCCTGTGACATCTAATAACATGTCAAAGTACTCGGTAAACAATTACTTTGTAAAAATACTGCAAACGTAGTGGAAAAGAATAGAAAATGTCAGTTCACAGGAGTAATTCTAAAACTTAAAACTAAAATACGAAGGTTGCTGCAGTTGCTCCTTAATGGTGTTTACATTTACAGGAGAGCAGAGTACACTAAAATGGCCCCCTATTTTTTCCCTGCATTTATACAAAATACTATGGTTGCCACAAAAAGGTCCTTGAATATTTGAGTAAGCTTTTACTTTAATGTCCACCAGTGTGAGTTTGCAAAAGGCACTCCTTTTATCTTCTGGGGAGATTACAGTACAAGCAGCAAGAGCTTTGCTGTGCTATCCTGCATTAGGCTCAGCAGACACTTAGGAGAAGCATGAGTAGGCATGAATACTTTAGATTACAGACCTTTGGCTGAAGCTGGAATTAAAATTTCTGTCTTGTAGGGATTTTTCAGTAAAGGCAGTAGATCAACTTGACATTTGTGGGCTGAGACTACGATGTTCATTTCACAATAGCTGACAAAATAGGTTTTGCCAAGCTGAAATGTCTTTAAACATGAAGAAAGCCTAGTTCCCAAAATTGTCTAAATCCCTTTGTGAAAAGTGACTGCGACACTTGGGGAATTTAAGTCACACAGAAAAACCAGCACAGTCTGAAATTCTTTCTATTATTTTGAATATTTAACTCCTGGTTAAGAGACTTTCTAATCATGTAATTTACAACAACATTGATTTAAACTTTAAAAATAATGAAATATAAATGTGAAGAAAAGTTTACGCACTTGTTTTACCTGTATGAGTCCTGGTATGAGTCTTCAGATGATCAGATCTGGAGAACTTTCTCTGACAGGTTTTACATTGGAAGGGCTTCACACCTGAAAAGACCAAAGGAAAAAATAAAATCTACTCTTATATCCCAGCATCTTTTGGAAGAGTGAAAGAAATCAGCTATTTCTGAATTTTCAAAAGCCTGAGGGAGTTGTTACTGTAACTGCTCCTCCTAAATTCATGTCTACAAGTGACAGAAAGTCATTAATGAGGCTACCATCCCATTGTAGCCTCTTCTTCTGATGTCTGGGTCTGAAGCATCCAAACAGCACCATTATGAACAAACACCCACTTACACTGTTGGACTAAGCAGGATCTGCAAATGTTAATTCTGATCCTGTGACTTGGCACCAGTGCTATCATGTATGAGCAAATATGACGTAAGAATAGAAGTGCAGAGGTATATATTTATATACTCCAAGTAGGCTTAACTTTACATTTCTACCTACTTTAAACTCTACATAAAAGTCTTGGGGACTGCTTATCACAGATACGTTCTAGCATGCAGTTGTTAAAAACGTATCATACCAAAAGAGTACTTCTACACCAGCTTTCAAAGACACTTCCTACATGTCCAAATAACACCATCTAAGTGAGATAGAACATCTTTACCAAGAAAAGTGGTAGGCAGAAATCCACCACAGGACAGTGAGTAAACCAGTTGTCAGGCCACTCCCTGAGATATAGGAGACCTAAATGCAACTTGTTGCTGCAACTCAGAGGACCACTCTGAAGCTCTTTCTCATGTTTCATGGAGTGTTCCCTCATGGTTCCACTCCTGGCTAGAAGGCTGGAGTCGTCACCACCTCATCTTCTGTGACTTGGAGAAGGGCTGCTGCCTCCCTTGTCAATCTAATTTAGACCTCCAAGAGCTCCAGAAATGCTGAAATGGGCTGTCTTGACATCTCCAGAAAATGGTGTATGTGCAAAAAACATCATACTGGATGCGGATTGAACCCACAAGCATTTTCAGCTGTCTCAGAACATTTCACCCTGTCAATGATCCACTCAATGTCCACTGAGAAAGATGGATCCTGGACACAAGCCTAGCTAGGACCCAGACCCATTCATGACTGCTCTGCCCTCTCCGCTGTACATAAACTGCTTTACACTTTCCAGGCTATTTTTACAATCCAACTAGCCAGATCTTTGATCTTTCTCTCCTTGCTGCTCCTGGAATCCTTCTTTAATTGGCAAGATTCAAAAAAGGTTCAAATCTAAGATGAAGTGGTTTGCTGAATTAAGATCTGAAGCATTACAGCTGGTATGGCTTTTCCACTTGTCCTATCCACACAGACGTGCGCAGTAATTCCACCAGCCTTCAGGTCAGGCACATGCAGCATTCACCTATCAGCACTGCCACACGAACATCAGAATAGCAACAGTAGTGTTTATCAGGCAGTTTCTTGCAGAACTGTTCTATTTCTTAAAATAACATATTCCCTATATTGGGGATACAGTATAAAGCACACAGTTTCATTAGGGAAGCTGTTCCAGAAAGATGGCAGCAGGATGAAAGTATACAACCATAGTAGTGCTGCAATGCTAATAAAACCCCCAGCTACAGTCATCTCCGAAAGCTAACTCCAAGGGTTTGGCACTATGGATATCGTGTACGAGCAGACACATCGGAAAAACAGAGGTTCAGAAGTTGACTTTTTGGATCACAGTTCACATCTAAAGATGTGAGTAGAGATGTGTTGTCAACAAACCTGTGTGTCGTCTTTGGTGCCGTTTGAGTTGGTCTGAACGAGAAAATCTTCGTTCACAGTCCTTAAAATCACACTGATAAGGCTTTTCACCTGTAAAGGACAAACAGTTTATCAGAGCATGTGGCTAGATGAGGGAACACATCAGGTAGAATGAGATGTAGAATTCTCTACTGCCTAAAGCATCTTAGTGGTACCCCAGGACTCATGTGCAGCTGTGTTGGGATCAGTGGGGAAAGGCTGGCATCATTCGACTGCATCCACACTTATAATGAATCTGCTCATTCTAAAAAAATAGCCCATTAGGTTAAAGCTACAAAAAATTTCCAGTTGCATGATTTTTTGTTGTTGTTGTTGGTTTCTGCTGGAAAAGAACAGGAATCTCTTGGTTTATATTTCTCTTAAAACCATATTATGCCCTTTCCACCTGTTTCAGTAATACATATTCTGTACAAAGGAACAACCTGCACTTTGCTGTAAGTTGTATTTTAAAGCAAAACCTAAACAAATGGCATCCATGTAGGCATCAATTCTAACCACCCTACATGAATTGTAAGAAACTGAGCAAAATTCAACCACAGAAAAATATATATTCTTTCCCAAATCACAAATGATGTTTCTTCCATAAAGCACCATTAAATAGAACTTCTCATGTAGCTGCACACCTCCTGCAGGCAAGGCTGTGAAGTATCACAAAGCACCCTGTAAATACAAACTCCTTCTCCACCTCCCATGCAGCTCAGCAGAGATCCTCGGGATGGCTTTTCTCTGGGACAAAAAGTGAGATTATGGCTCTTCAAAAAAATTAACCCCCTACAAGCTGGTGTCTCAAATGAATGTGGTTTTCAACCATGACAAAGGACCAACAATACACACATGCAAAAAGAAATGCAGCGATCAAGGAGCTTGAGGAAAGAGAGAGACACTGCTGGCATTAGCGTACCACAGAGTTGGTGAAATTCAGCCAGCACACAAAAAGTTAGTCCTCATGTTGCTACGGGAGTAGCTGTACGATCTTTCAGATCTGATTCACACACTGGAATCCCACAAAAGCCTCAGATGTAATCGCATTTATCCCTACATAAGGTCTGGTGACAGTGCCACAGCCCTGCACAGAGGCCTCAGCACAAGAAGTAATGAAACATCTCTCGCTCCAAAGCTGGGAGAATCCTGGGTTTTATCTGGAAGGTACATACAAGACCAGCTGGGACCTGCTTTGTCTACTGTGGAAAGCTGAGATCTGAAACAAAGATCCGGCAGGAAGGACCTAAGGAAAAACACTGGCTGACGTGGTAGTGGGGTTAATTTCTCTGGGTGTATCTTTAAAAACCTGTCACTTTCATAAATCTTCACAGGAAGTGCCTGCATTTCTGATGTTATGGTGATGAGGACAGGTACCTGGTTGTATCTCAGAATACCAGTGCAAACCAGTTCAGTTTAAAGCAGAAGCCTTCTGACCCAGGCGACAGAGCGTAGGTAGCACGTTAAGGACAGCATTGCAAATTCATACCAGTGCAGCTAAAATCAAAATCTTACAAAAGCAACCAAATCCGCAAGAACAAGCTAACTTCCTGTGCCAGTCACCCGAAGGAGTTTACTGACTCTCAGACCTAGGTGTGGGCAACTTCCATGTCTGCTGCCCTTAATTTATTAGCATAAGGGATTAAAGTTGCCACAGGTGTTTGAAATAGCTCTGTACACTTTGACCGCGTGGACTCCCCAGTGGGTGCCTGGTTTTCAGGAACCACTTACTTCCAAGGAATTCAGCCCTTTGGCAGATTTAAGAGGGGGAATGTCAGCAGAGCAGAATGCAGTGACAGGATGATTGTCTGCTAATTGCAACACAAGCGCAGAAGATGGTTAAGGAGGTATTTGAATAGAACAGTGTAGTGGGTCTGATGGCATGCACACAAAAGTATTTATTTAATTATTAAATTAAGGACACATTTGACCAATGCATATATTACAGGAATCAACCCAAGATGCTTACACAGAAATATGATGACATCGTCTAGAAAACAAAAAGCAAAGAAACAAAAAGAGGCATCCTAATTTCCCTTTCCTTCTATATCTTCCACATCAGCTAGTGCCAAGCAAAATGCCTGCCAAAGCCAACTGTCACATACCTGTTACCTCCCAGAAGTTCCTTCAGAACAGGAGAACAGAAATGTCCCAGATTAGAAATCGTCGGTGAGGACCTCGTTAAACCACTATACTTAGAGGGGCTGGAGCAGTGTCTGGTTTCCCCAGCCCTGTTAAAGCCTCTCCAGTAAAAGGCTAGAGTCTCTCAATGTATGAAAACTACCCCATAATGTTGTCACCTTCCTACAGGACCACAGACAATTTCCAAACAAAACAGGCAATGCAGCTTCCCGGGTCCTTCCACCTGTGCCTCAGAGGCTTTCAGGATTACTTATATTTCATTTTTGAGAGAGGGCACACAAACAAAAGGCTCAGCTCAGTGCATAATGGAGTAGTCAACATGAGAGAGGACAGAGGAAATAGCAGTTCTTTAATATTTAGGGAAATATTTAGAAAAAAATAAAGGTCAACAATGACAAACAGGTACGAATCAGCCTTTGCATATACCACAGTAAAGGTTTTTAATAAAATAAACCTATTTGTTCAAAAACAGTTAAACCAGAGGAACCTGCACATTTTCTCTGGAGCAAATTCATTTGCCCAGACACATGGGAAAAGAGAAATCCCGGCTGCTGTAGCAGCTGCACAAAATACAATCATTGCATGTAATTACAGAGTGCTCTAAGAGCAAAAGCCCACTGCTAACAAGCAAGCATGAGGAGAGCAGGCTGATTTTGAAACCAGAGGCTGCAAACCTGGGTGAGAATCTGAAGGTCTATACTCCCTGCACCAACTGAAGTCCCTTTTCTTGTGTATGCACTTAATCACACAAGCACAACACTGTAATCACAGCTTTACCTCAATAATGTAACATGTTTCTATTCAAAATAATTTATTTTAGCAAACGCAGATTAAACGTGTGTCTCTATTTGGTAGGGAGCCTTTACAGATAACGTTTTCTGTCATCTTCAGACCGTAGTTCAGGTGTGAGATGTCATTATTGTTTTGAGAATAATCTTGTATTTTAAATACATACGTTTATCATCTCTGCACACAGAGGACATAGCTCTGCCTTTCAAAGGTGGTGTAACGATGACTGTAAAGCACTTAGCAGCGTGGTGGCACATACCATACTAAAACTATTTTTGTCAAAGCAAAGAAATCATTGTTAGATGATTAGTATAAAAGTCATGATTAGACTGTGTTATTTACACCCCCCAGAGCCTCAGAAATTCACCACCGAGACCTGAGTCCCCTTCCATATAAAGGACAACCTTCATCAGTTACAGATTCTCACACCTCACTGTAAAATTCATACCCACAGTTGAGCATATTTCGGCTGAAGAATATCCCTGGCAAGCAGGCAGAGGGTATTTTCTCTGAAAAAATGCTCAGCTTTCCATCAGGATAAATCCAGTTTTTCCAGTGTGTGGCACTGAACGCAAAGGATCTCTGGCAAGAATGCTGTTTCCACCGTAAGTGAAATTTATGGAGGTCTAGACATCAATTTGTTTCTGCAAAGAAGTCTCTGAAGTCTGCCACAGGATGACAACTCACATTATTTGCTGTACTATTGAAAAATTAGATGTATTATTGCATTTCCTTTCAGAGGCCTATCTACTGCAGCAAAATACAGCAAGATAAGAAAAAAGCTTTTTTGGCTGAGCATGTTTCAATAAAGGCATTGTTAACAATGGACAAGCAGTCGCGGAAGGTACAAAATGTCAACATATTTTCAACTAACGCAATGTTGAAACACTGGTAAAACTGATTACAGAATCCAACTTTGTGTTTCAGGGCCTCGCTTGATTTTGCAATACTGCAACTGGTGCAGAATAGATCTGATGAGCTGGGCCTCTGCAGGTATCTATTATAGTAAGGAAAAAGATAATCAAGAGCCAACATTGTTCTGCAAAGATACTATCTGCTGGTTTAATATTGGATATATGTAACAACTTGTTTTCAGATCCTGTGGTCATCATTTTAAAAACTGCCCTACCACTACACTAAGAAAGGTGGAAGAGCTTCAAACCCACAAGTGCATCCAGAACCACCGTACAGGAGGACCAGTAAAATTCATGTTGGCTGTAGAGAGGTATACCAAACACAACCGAATTATCCTCCACTTGAGCTGACATCTGACAACTCTCCTGACTTCAGACTGGCTTGTCAGGATTCGTCCCCATCAAAACACTGAAGCAGAAGAGGAGACATATCCCTTTGTTTAGTAAGAGTATTAGGTGTTCTGTTTGCCAACTACTACCATAACTATTATCAATAAGACAAGCACTCCCCAAAGTTAGGACTAACAGACACAGGAGGAGACAAGAAATGGAGATCATCATATTCTAAAGTCTCTACAGGAACTGGAAAATCAGTAAGTAAAATTTCCAGACCATAATCATAGGAAATGGCTAGCAGCCATCCAACAGGCTGAGGACAAAACCCTGCCAGGATGATGAAGAGAACTCCTTTCTGATCCTAAATCTGAATGCATCAGCTAGGTGAGTTTCCAAGCAGTTCCCATACCAGCAGTGCGCTACCACTTGCTTTATCCTCTTTAGCTGCAACCAACCTCAAAATCTTACAAAGTCTTATCAATGGTAATGCTTGTATCATTCCCAAGCCTTGGGAATCAAGTTGCCCTGTTTGTTATGGAAAGTAACTTGCAAAGATTGTCAACACACCAAAATAGAGTGGCAGAAAGATCTGAGCCCACCTGTACGGAAGAGATGTTTGAGGAGAAAAAAAGGAGTTCTTCCTCTACCCTGTTCCACTATAGCACAAACCAAAGGAGGGGCACGTATGACCTCAAAGGCAATGGGAGAAGTTTCTTCAGGGCTGTCAGATGATCATAGTCCTAATCCCCTTCCCGCTATGTGTTTTGGGGCTCTTGTGACTCTGCATGCCCAGAGTATATGTGGTGTAATTCTGCAAATCTTCAGTTAAGGGGAAAAAAAAAAATCAATTTAAGCTGAAGTCCTTGTGATGCACCCAGGAATAACATTGCAAAAGCCAAGCAACTAAAGGGAATATAATACAGGACCAGACCAAATAAATTATGACTGTTAAAATACAATTTAGGAATGAAAGAAATCGTTATTTTGGGAAAAATCAGAACTGTAAACAGGCATACTTGAGCATACTGTAAAAGGCATACTTGAGCAAAATACTGCAGTTAATGGACCCCAAAAGATCACCACATTTTCTTGTTTCCAATTTATTTACAGATAATAGAATAGCATTTCTGTAGACCTTCATCTCTAAAGACTAAATTCCAGTTACAATTTAAATTATCTTGAACGTGTAATCTGAGCAACGCTGAAGATGTCTACCTGAATACTTTGTGACTGGCCCATTCAGAGACTGAAAATCCTTTGCAATGCTCATTTCTCACCTGTAAGTATTTTACACAATTAACTGATGCCACTACATGGCCTCCAGAAGGAAAAGTTATTATAAAACACCAGACAAGCTGACAGGTCACGCAGTATGAGCTGCCCTCCCCTCCTCTGTTTCACCCCTCTGACCTCCTGCCAGGTTAATGGCCAAGTGAACATCCATATTTACAGATTTTATCCACAGATCTCTAGATGAGCACAGAAAGAACTGTCTAAATGAAAATACGATAGGCAGTCCAAAAATGTATAAGGAGCATATCTAAAGGTTTATCATAATTCTACATTTCCAACAGAATAAATCTCCCAATAGGGAAAATAGCTTTGTTTACTCTTTGGCAAGGTGCATCAGAGCATTTGATTTTCACATTTTGAGATAGAACGTACGCTGCCTGAGCTCAGAGAGAATCCAGATCTTAGCCTACAAATGACTGGCTTCGGGCTCAATTCATGGAAAAATGCCGTTTGAGGAAACTCACTTGCCAGTCCCTGCCTCGACCCCCAACCAGAAAGGGCTTTCTCAGGAGGACAAGAGGCTGCTAAATGCCTAGGTTCCTCTTGCAGAGGAAACTTCTTAATAGTTAACAACAGTAAAGATTTGGAGCAAGCCTTGATGCTGCCAAATGGAGGGGACAGAGACAGGGACAAAAAAATTCACAGCCCTGCATGATGCCCTCTGACAGTAAGAGAGGGAGGGAGTTGATCTTCCTGCTGTCAGCACTGCTCTGTGTTTTTCTTCACTAGATTCGGTCTTCTGCATCCAGAAGAGGGATTGCCCAGCTGACAGAGCACATACATACCCATCTGACAGACCCTGTCTGCCCCTGACCTGGCAGATCATTTCTTGCACCTTATGCTATTTTAAAACCACCCTACCCACTCTGCTGTCCAGTGCTGTGACGTGATTTATACCAACCCATGCTGACACTCACCAGTGTGCTTTCTGCTGTGCATCTGTAAATGGGACAACTTAAAGTATCTCTTGTTGCAGCCAGGGTACGCACACATGAAGGGACGTTTTTCATTTGTCTCACTTGCTGATCGGACAATAGTCGGAGCTACTCCTGGCACCCGTCGGACATCCTACAACGACAGAGACTTGCTAGTGTAACGTGCGTGTTCTCAAGCTTTTACTTAACATATTCAAAGACAAACAAGCAGAGGCACCTCTCCAGGACAGAAATATTTAAATACACTGCAAAGTGGTAAGTTTATGTTACTCTACTTTAACAAAGTACAACCTTACTATACTATACCTTCATCTGTTAAACTCTACTTATTAAATTCTCACCAAATATTGATGTGCACGTTTACATGGGCCACGTTCTGACCTCATGTATAATCACACAATTCTGCAAGAACACTCATTGGCATATAAAGTAGTTTTAGGCTTATAGTAGTGTAAGGGGCATGAGCCAGAGTAGCATTATCCTCTTATTTTAAATATTCATATGAAGTTTAAGGACAGGGAAATTAATATATTGGGTTAACTCAAACTGGTAAAAAACAAAACAAGAAAGCCTGTCCAGGTGGAGCTGGTGAATAGTTCAGCCTTAATGCATTTTGACCACTGTCACAATGTTCCATCAAAGATGATCTTCTCCTTCTGGAACAATTAACTTCCTTAAAGAATGGCAACTGCTTAATTTATTCACTCCACAAAGCTGCTATTTCCGAGAACTTGCCACTGAATAATGACTTGTCAAACTGTACAGAAAAGGAAAAGATGCTGCCTACAAACACTGATGTACATTGACAACCAAGAGTAACGCAGGAGAGATACTACGTACTGACTTCGCCGTCAGTTTTAAGAATGTATAGCTTTTACAGTGGTATTTATTGATGATATGACTTTCAGAAAGGGAGGAAGTTAACTCCCTTGAATGGTAAGTTCCTTCCAAATACTCACTAATTACTTAGTCATTAGGAAACAATCCCTTACTATATTTTGTTTTAAGGAAATATATTTGCATTAGTGAAGTTTCAGAAATGCGTAAAAGCAGAATGTTGTCTAACACTTTTTTGTATATAGTTATCAGACGTAGTCTGTTGTAACCACAGAAGCTTCACACAGCCAGAGTGACCGGAGCTAGGAGGTGGGAACTGGACTGTATGTTTTGGAACATCCTGAGAGGCTGGTAAGGAATATTGCCCCGCAGACATACTTTAGAAGAAGGAATAAATAATTTTAAATGACTGTCAGAAAGAAATCTTACACTGTACTTCAGTGACTTCAGTGGAGTCAGAACACTCCATAAAGCATTTCTTGATAACACAGAGAAACAGCAAACCAAGGATGGATTTATAAATACCAGTGAAATAGCAAGCAAACAGTATAAACAGGCAGCAGTTTTACTTCGCTAGGAAGAATGTCCTACCATACTCACTTGTATGCCTCTAAAAACTCCGTGGGTGTGTATTCTGTACTGGGCCCCACAGCTGTACAACATGGGAGCACTGTGGTTCTCATTTTCATATCCTGCCGTATGGCTGTAAATAAAGAGGGGAGTAATGGGAAAATGAAATATTTTTCAGTACTCGGCTCCATGTGAGAGGTTTCATTTCTTAAGTCAGTGATAACGCACGCAGAGTTCGCTTTCATAGCCCGGATATCCAAGTTCAAATGCAATTCACCGAAGGAAGCCTGCTCTACCTTCGGATGGCTCTGCTCCCGCTGGCACAACGCACTGACTCCATCCATACATCTGTTAGTATCCAGTAGTAACCAGTAAAATAAAAATGTAAAAATTGCCATGAATTGAACTCTGATGTATTTCCACAAGGATTTTAGGTAAGAGGGAAAAATCCACATAGCAGCATGACTGTGTCATGTGCACATGTACACGTTATTTATCAGTTAAATGTGGGGCTGGCTATTGCTAATATCTTTTGGAATGAGCAAAATGCCTCAAGTTTCACATTAAGTGCAGTGGATTTTTGTCAGCACCTCATGACTCAGATATTACCAGATACTACCAAGAAAGTGATGACATTTATAAGAATAGCAGTCATGTACTCATAAACAGAGATTACAAATCAGCGTCCAAACTATTTATCCTACGTATCAGCTTGCAGGATGCGCTACAAATTACCCCCTTTTAAAAATACAAGTGAAAAACCAAACCCAGCCTCTCCTTACCAGGTATTTACATATCCTAGCAGGGGTACATTTTCAAGATTGCTCATGCAGCATCATCACAATAATGCAAAAAGTTTGTAGCTTTTGGTGTGTTTTGAGGGTGTCACAACCATATGTTCTATCTAGTTATATTCTCCAAAAGCCTATCTTCTCCTGTCCAGAACGTTAGGAACATTGCTGTGCTTCCTGGTAGATAAATTTGAGGGTTTAGTTTTAAATGTGTATGTTACATTAGTGTGGACATTGACACATGTATTAATATACATTGGCAGCAGTAAGTGTTCATGTTTTACACTGCACTAGAAATCAGAAAGGCCAGAACAAAACCCAAGGGCACACAGCTAGGGACAGAGATGGATACATAGGATGTTATCCCAGTCTTTGCCAAATGCTTGCAATAGCAATCTGAAGGAGTCCCTGAGGCCCAGGCTCTCATTTCACTGGTCCTTCCTTTCTCTTCACTCAAAGTTCATGTGCAGAGTAGAATTACAAGGAAGTCTTAAACCTCTTACGTGGTTTGCAGAGCAGCCAGAGAAACAGGAATGCAGATGTCTAAACAGTTTGTGAACCTGACTAAGCAGGAGGGAGCAGGGATTGTGAACAGCTCCTACTACAGCCTGTGGGTTGCATTCCTCAGTACATGTCCCCTTAGTGGCTTGAAGGCTGCCACCTGGCAGATTACTTCCTTTACATCAATCCCTCTGCTGCATAAAATACCAGTTTCAAAGCCTGGATCTACCTGGCTATTCAATCAAAGGCTACACCTTTTAGGAAGGTACTCTCTGTTTATTTCAGTTTTAAGTGGCAAACAGGTGATCATAGTGAATTAAGTTGTAGGGCAGCAGCAGGAAATGCTCTCTCATGTAATAACAGATAAAGGCAGATGCCATTATCAGATTAAACTGTAGATATGTACCACGAATTTCAGCATTAGTCACCCTAACCGTGTAACCTCTCATTCATGCCTGTACCAGCCACCTTACACATTACAATAAACAAGAGACACATAGTTAGATAAGAGGATTTCCCAGAGCAGAAACTTTAGAAGGAATATGTAGTAAAAGCTGATGCCATAAAATACAGCCTAGCACTCCCTCCAAATTCACATGGTTTGCATCTTTCAGTGATAACCATTTCTGCAAAGACCAGTCACTTCTGAAATAATCCCTTTTGGGAATAAGAAGCAGACAAAGACCCTGTCTGTGCCCTAAGGAATGGCTCTAGGAATAGGAGGTATCCTCCAGATGATCTCCACCTCCAGTTTTATTACACAGCTGGGAAGCCCTCCTCGATTCACGTTTCCTCCTATTATTTCTAGTCATACTTCACTAAAACTGTACACACAACTGCAAAGCCTTGAAGAGTAAAACCTGTTTTCCAAGCTCTTGACCGATTATATACTAAGTGCTTAACCAGTACCCTAGGAGAAACACTTCAATAACCAGTTCCCATTTTACACTGGACACATTTCCATCAACATTGGCTGGTACTCAGCGTGGTCATATGGATGATGACAGCAAAATGGATCACGTGAGATTTCTTGGTTAAAATGCTGTTTATTCACTATGAAGCATTACGGAATAATCCGACCTTCAGGGAAACAGAAATTACAGGTGAATTTTCTTTCCAGTTAGTGGAGAAACTGAAATGCTAGAGTTTTCACCACTGCTCACTTGAAGTTCAATCTTCACTCTCCACTGATAGTCACCTCACTGTGGAGTACATCTTTTTTTCTTCCAGCCTCTTTGCCCAGTGCAGCCATGATGTCTGCCATAAACTCTGTTGCTCAGTTGGCTTGTTGCATATTGCTGCTAAAATTTATATGCTAAAATAAAAGCACTGATAGAAGAATTGATTTATAAATTTCTTAAATACATTACTGAAACCCTACGTATAAGAGCTAATGATCAGATGCAATGCCACATACGTTAGCAATACCAGTCACTGATGAATTTATACCTGCAGTGCATCAACTAAACGGAAATCTTAAGCAGGTAGGAGATGCCTTAACTTTCATCTTTTCTAGTCAGGTATTATATGTTTAACTAGGCAAAGAGATGATGCCTTATACACTTGGGCCACCAAATCTGTAAGTATAATAATGAAAAATTATCCTGATAGACTCTGAGGACTAGGTAACAGGCTAGATCGCCACCAGAGCACTGCAATGCGTCCAGCCCAGATCCACTAACGATATATGCATTATAAATTAAAAAGAATCATAGAATCACAGACTGGTTCAGGTTGGAAGGGACCTTAAAGATCATCTAGTTCCAACCCCCAAGATAGCCAAGAAGGTACATTAGAGGCTGTTCACATGAACGGTGATAATCCAGGATAGGTAAACACTGATACCTGGGGAGAGATAGGCTTCTGGGACTGAATGGGACACGAGTTCTCTCCCAGCAGGATGGGCTGCTCAGGCAACACCAGAGCAGCCTAGAGAACTGCCAACGGAGCCGCTCACTGCCCTGCTGCAAGTGCACTCAGAGCAGGCTGAGAGCACGGCTGAAGCTCCTACACTGGGCTTCCCCCTGCTTCAAGGGCTCAGCAGCCCCCAGGAGGAACTCAGCTAAAGCCAGGGGGATAACACTGTTGAATTAATCAAAGAAATAAACCAAAAAATGCCCAGTAGGGCCCAGAGTTACAGTTAAGAGAGACATTAGACCAATCCTGCCACAAGTCCTAAAAGAGTAAAAACTAAGGAAGGCCAGATGCAGCCAGACTGGCCTGCCAGGATCCAACAGAAATCTTTGTTGGAGCAAAGACTAAAGGACTTAGCCTCACAGTCTAGTTCTGCCTTTACTTTTAAGCACACAGCTCCCTTCGGCTTCAATGGGAACTGCACAGAGGCAGAACTGGACTATAAATACATAGAATTGGAGTTAGCTGGTGAAAAAAGGGCTGAGTATATTTTGTTCTCTGGTTCTAGGCAGCCAGAAGCAGACCTGGAAACCTGGCCATAAACCCAGTCTCTAGATACCTGGGAAACAAAGACTGATACTTCTGCACCAGCACCCGCTAAGCAGGCGCAATGTGCTGCAGAGGGTTTAGAAGTGATCACATTTACCATTAGCCCAGCAAATCCTTAACACTCGGAGAGTAGCTCTTTTAAAATGATTAATCTCAGAGTTGTACAGATTGTACAAAGATTAATAAAAATGAAGGTTTTACAGATGAGAATGTGTGATGAAAAACAGAACAGCTTTAAAGAGCTGTATCAATCTAAGTGGTTATAAAAAAACTCATAAAAGATGACATTCTAATCTGAATATTTTAAAAAATAATCAAGCTGCAATTTCTCTCTCACACCATTTTTACTTTGCTAAACTGAAATTGCCTGTCTAATGTTTAAAGCAGTTACAACTTAATCTGAAAAGTTAAGCTTTTTATTATTTCATAAACCAAAAAAGGGAAGCTTTAGGGCATGCTGAGGAGAGTTAGAAAATTTCAGATGAAACGTGAATGCACATTGATTCATGAGATTCAGACTTGGAAGAATAAAAAAAGCCAGAAAGCAAGATTACATAAACCAGGCACCACATTAAGCCTCAATTTAATTGTGTTTCAATGCAGGAACAGGAATTTTAAGGTTTAGAAACAGAGCCAAAAATGAGGCAAAGTGAGGGTGTGGGCTAGTCCCGTTGATAACGGAACATAAAGGAAGAGAAGTAGAGTTAATTCTCTCTGCTAAAATATTTACCATCCTAGCACCCTGGGAAAAATATGTATGGAGACAGCAAAAAGATTCTGATTAGTTATAGAGAAGATCATATTTCTGCCTGTTTTTTGTCTAATACTATTACAGAGGGTGGAGTATAAAGCTGCATTTTTATCTGCACTTTCTGAGGCAAAGGAATACTAAAACATGTGATTTCACAGATTACAGCCCCTCTGCCATCTCCAGTGAGAAAACCAGCTGGCTGATGAAAGGAAGGCACTGGACCTTCAGGGGACCCTCATCTCTCTGACTTCAATAGTCTTTGGGTGGTTTTTTTCTACCGTTGACCTGAGTGGAATCAGGATTTCACCCAACATTTCCCTTCAAAGTGAGACTCAGCTATCGTGGGAAGGGGGAAATTCAGTATTGGAGACAATAGATTATTGTCCACTTTCAATTCATCTTGACTGCAGAGCTGAACCCAAGTAGGAAGTTTTGCACCTCCAAATTTTACTAACAATACCAGCAAAGCTAAACAGAAAAAACTTTACAGTTCATGCCTAGACAAAGTAAGTGTTCACTGTCTTGTTTCAGATGCAGCCTTAATGGTGTTCTACACAGGTCATACCTAATCTTCCTTCCAAACAGCAACAAATACAAAGTTTCACGGAATGTGACAACTATTTAATA